GTTCGCAATAGTTGAAGTAGCTATAAAATGTTTGGTAAGGATAGAAAATGGGAAGAGAACATTTCGAAATGTGGAAAAAGTTTCGAAAAAAAGGTCGATATTGTTGCATAAGAGAGATTTTTTGAAAATCAATCTTTAACTTTCGGTGCTTATTACATGCCAAAAAAGTCCTATAAAGCTTCAAAAGTTTTATAAAAGGCTCTGAAAGTTGAAAAAGAAAAAGTACGGAAGTATTCCAAAAGGACTTTGCAAGCATTATATTAGGTCGGTGAAAAAGTATCCGCCGTTTTGACCCCCCCCCACCAGTTTTGAAGCACCCACCAATTTCAACACGTCAGGACGTGTGCAGATCGTGGATAGAATCCACAAGGTTCTGCTTTGGAAGAAACTTGAAGGAAAGAAAAGAAAATTACTTTTCAACGCGTGTATATTCAAAGGCAACGGCAGGAAGAGAAGAAAAGGAATAGCAAAATGCTGTTATAACCTTCCATTGGCCCTGTTTTGAAACTTCTCCCCAAATACGCCGCGAAGATATAGAGTTGACAGTTAATAACATTCCACTAAATGACTCCATTTTCGGTGCTTCTTATTCATATTTATAATATGATAATAGTGACATTTCTATGAAGTTTCTCTTTCATCTCCTTTCGCTGTAATCTTCTCACTGACACCGCTGCATTTCACCGATCTCCGCGAGTGGGAAGTTTCTTTCAAAGCAGAACCTTGTGGATTCTATCCGCGATCTGCACACGTTCTGACGTGTTGAATTCCACTGCAGGAGCCCGCGAAGACTTGCCTCGTCCGGATCGCCGCGCAGCCCGCCGCGCGATTCGCCGCGTGCAACCCCGGACGCACCAAAAGTCCCGCACCCGGGTGTCCCCCTTCCCCGAATTCCAATTCACCGACTCCATCTGATATTAACACGTTGACGACCGTGTGGTATGATGTCATACCACACCTTTTCGGCCACGTGGGACCGTGTGACATGATGTCATGTCACAGTCTTTTTAAGCTGGTTTTCAAACATTTTAGAGAAATTCTAAAGGTGTGTTGTGTCGCTGCTTAGATTTTGTTACAAAAGCCATGAAAAGAAATTTTGATTGATGAGTTGTCGAGTTTTGGGAAAGTAGGGTGGAAAGTGATAAGTAACCACACTTTTTGTGCTTGAACTCAATCAACTACGACAAAGTAATGTAAAATAATTTGCTGCAATGGATGCATACTTCTGGTAGGAAAAATGAAATGCCTAAATTGCAGGTAAGCAACTCGTCAAAAAAGGTATTTTCGTGAGACAGTGTGGCATAATGTCATGTTACATTCGCGAGGCCACAAAAACCGCGCGGTTCCAATGCCAGCGAAACGAGCACGGTCACCAAGGCGTTAAGACATTAGTTATACACGCAACCTGATACTAACCAATAATTTGACATAATCTAAATTGCGAGGCAAAAAGAAGGCGACATGCTCAGAAGTATCGTAAAAGTTTAATATATTAGGTAGGTCAAAAAGTACCTCGATTATTCCCCTGCATTTTTTTGATAGTTTCTTTCGAAGCTATTCAAAC